TGTCTCATCCGACTCGAAGTCCTCGTGTGCCGTCGCTAAGTGTATGTCTGTAGGTGATGTTGGGCCTAATAAGCACTGTTAGCGAAGAGTAAGCATTGAGGCTAGCAGGACCACAAGACGCTAGACCTGCAGGGTAGCACGACCGCTAGACGCAGCTGCACTAGACTAACAGGGTGTTGCGCGCCCATGTTGCGGCGAAAGACAGGAGGCTTGTGGCACGGTCTCAGAGGAGCATTGGAACCTTTCCTTTCCTACTGACGTGATTGATTCCTAGATGATACTAACTATAAAGCGGTTTGCGTTTTGTGCAAGGGGATCGGGGGAGGTCAATCGATTTTTTTCAGTCAATCCAACCACCATCGTTACCATAGACAGTTACACATGCACACATACCCATGTAAACTGGCACAACATATAACGATAATACGCTTATGTTGCGTGCCATGGTTTAGGAAATTACTATGTGTGCAAGTTAATTTTAAAAGCGTTTTGTTATTGTTATTATAGTTTTTGTTTTGATTGTGAGAGATTGAGGAAGATAGATACGCTGTCGACAGTCAACAACAGCGTAAATATGTCCTGAATCTAGTTGGCGAGGTCTTTATCCAGTGAAGGTGGAGACTGGCCTAGATGTAAGCAGTGGATTTAAAATGCTAGCATTTATGCAGTATCTCGTAAACTAACGGATTAGTGTATATTGTCGTTGCTAGACTGCTGTTTCTATAGCCTTGTGAATATTGTCGCCACCTTTCATTGCCGACTAAACAAGGCGGGCTAACTGTTTCGAAAGCCGCTACTATTCATTCGTAGATCGTAGTTCGTTTCGTGAGTTAGTTATTTCATCGAGACATATGACTAGCTATGCTGTACGCAGTTACTCATACCAGGGGTATCCTGACTTACGAGTCCTGCACAGCATTTGAAGACTGATTGTTTCATTAGTATCAATAACAACGCAAATCTCAATAGGAACATAAACGAATTATTGTCAATCGATCGATCATTTTCAATCGTCACACAAATACTAAGGATACACTCGTTACCTCCGTCACAATAGAAGCGTCTTTATTTAGAGAGCTGTAAGGGTTGCAAGTCCAACGATCGCCGAGGCACGTTTGTAGGTATTGTCGTATTGCTTTACTAGAATACTATATAATAGTATAAGTTGTGATACTAGCATTAATCAATAGAATAGTAGCAGACGCGCGACAGCGGCAAGAAAGAGCTCAGTTAGCTTCTTGACAGCAGACCCTTTGCCGTTTCAATATGCAGCGTGTGGCAATTGATCGTTGATTCCTGTCTGGGTCGCAAAATGCCTGGCATCTTCACTTTTTCTCTCACCTTGATTTACCAATAGCCGCAACAATTGCTCTTCTGCTGCTGTTGAGTGGGTGTCTCCGACATGATATGCCGGCCACGAGTTACCCTGCCGAATGGTGTACCCTAAACATGCCAAAGTACAATCCTACACCTGTGTTGCCAACCTGTTACTGCATGTCATACTGTGCGTGAGACGTGCAGAAAACGTTCACGTATTTCTAGTGCGTAGTCAGGCCAACGATGATTGTGGGTAAATCGCCTGCTACAAAGATATCCCCTAGGAGATTCTGTGCAGTAATATCATCGGAGTTATAGTAGTCATAATAATAATAATTATTATAAAACAAATAATAATATTTATGTAATAATAGCTCTTCTCTACCTTCGATTTTATCAGGTGTTATTGTTGTACACATCAGTCACACTTTTTCTTTTACTGCAGTGTCACGCAGGAGGCAGACGTCAGACATGGCAAACAGTAGATCCGGAAGGGCTACCTTTATCACACTAGATATTAGGTTGCCCCCTTAAATTGGTATATATTTAACTATGTATTAAATAGTTGGTAGCGTGGTCTAATCAGGCAGACTACGGAAAAACGCAAAGCGTTATGCTCGTTTGGGCCCTTTCTCGAACCCTTTTTCTTTTCATTATATCATTAGCAGTTACCATTTCTGTCTGAAAACTCTCAGTGATCAGTGCCGAACGAAATCAGTGACAATTCTGTTCAAGGAGCAGTAAGCTGGTCCTAAGACAAAACCCTTTCTACTATTTCGACTAGTCTGTACTCTATATTTAGAGTATATATTAGTCTATACTCATTCTTTTTTATTGTTCGTGATATTAGACTGAGTGTGATACGCTCAATGCTGTCCAACTACTGATCGGTAGCGTTGGCGCCCTGGCCAGCGAAAATTGATGAGGACCCCATTAACCGTAACTGCATTTAAATTATATTTTTCCACCCTGCACTTTGCTCGCTGGCGTCCCCAACCAGGCGATGGGTCACGAAGCATAGCAGCTTGAAACGAAATGGTTTCGATATGGTGCGATCCGGTGAAGTTTTTGTTACGGGTGCCGATCCGTTTCTAGTGTGCCCTGTCGCTGACGAGTGCTCAACAGTGACCCGTAATGGCTTTAGTGTTTTAGGTTCATGTATCAAGTACATGAAAATCAGTCATCTCTGATTAGAAAACACGACAACACGGGGTTTAATGGGCCTCTGTGCCATGATAATGTCATGCGAACAGCGTCATGTGATCTGTGTAGATGATGAAGTAGAGTTAAGCAAGACGACGTACGTTCGTGTGAGTAATTGAGCGATACCTAAGGAGCAAGGATGTTCCTGATTTTAAGTTGGTTATTTTCTCAGCGTTGACGCGGATACTGCCCGTAATGGCGGTTCAATTCAGCTACCACCAGCTCAGGATCAAAACCTAACTAGGTAAAGTAACGGTGATGCGGCCTGTTGTGATACCATGTTGCAATTAGACATATGCAAGATCAAGTCAAAAATGCTGTCGGTGTTAGCGATCAATCAGTTTATGCTTCTCAATCATCACGAAGACATTGCCCCGAGCCCTGCATGGCTACTAATCCGCTACTGTTACCCGAATCCCTTGACAAGCTAAGGGGAAGATAGTCATTCAACGTATATTACTGACAGCAACAGTGGAATGCTGCTAGCCTGAACAAAGTCGTTATTCGTTCACGATGATGATTATGGTTTTGCTGATTTGATAATGATGGGTAAACCAGATGGGGCTGAAGGCTCTGATGAAGCTAGTCAGATCATGGCTGGCTAACGTAGTGCCTTATAGGAGTCCGCTTACAGGCGTTTACGCACTGTTCTCGTTGGAACGTGTCGGCTTCGTTAGCAAGCTTTCTCCACGGTCTCCAATTTACGATATCGGCAGGTCGTCTCGGCCTGCCTACCTGCCTCTCTAAGGCTAAGGCCTCCCTGACATTGCTAATAAGCATGCATGACGATAAGGTTCTAGCGACGCGCATTCTCCAGATAACAATTTATAGATAATAATTAATGATTTACTGAAGGTACTCGCGGGGAGAGTGTTTCTGACCGCATATCGCAGGCCTTGTTGCTATCGCGTTCATGCTATTCGCGCCGAAACAGCATTTTTCCGTAGAGCCTACCCCAGTTATTAGTTGTGTGTTTAACATTCATTACTCATACTTCGGTAGGATACATACACGTTTTCGCATGACTGATGAGTGTCTTCCTGAAATTTATCATTGTACAAGTCGTCTACTGTCAGTTAAACAATTGAATGCGGCTATCTTTCGGCGGCAAAAAGTATCTGTGTTTGAGTCCGCAAGAACGGATGTCTGCGTCCGTGGGGGTAGATGCGACGTAGCCAAACATTTGAATGAACTGTGGCCGTGGCATCGGAAGACAAAACAAAGTTCCATTAGTAGCTAAACTGCCGCTGCTTTCACCATTGCTTGTTTCGACTGAACGGTGTTTTTACCTTGGCACTTTCAATTGTTCGCTGAGATATCTCTCCTTAGTGGACAATCAACGTCGATGGCGTGCAATCAACGATATACGCAGCAGTGATTACGTCAGTAACGGGCTATAGGATTATTGCCTCTTCGTTTAGCGAAGCACAGCCTTTTGAACGCTGGGAAAGGCTGGCCGTAAAGGCCAACGGATTGAAAAGTCGACGCAATATTCGTATACTATACCTGTCGTCCTGTCGCCGTGCGGATTGGGAAGAGATGAATAATGTGCTTACAATCAATGGCACGTATAAATAATTGCGTTAATTTAAGCTAAATGTGTGTAACATTTAATCAGTGTTGGATTATACAAAAACAAACTCTCTGTCGTAACGACAGGGAGCGTCCTCTACCGCTGTCGCTACCGAAAAGCTACTGAGTGGGTCTAATTTTTGTCCCGAAGCTATACTAGTTTTACCATGGTAGTTAGTTTTGTAAAAGAATGGAAACAGACGAATGTGTGAGACGCTACCCTCGACCAAAGTTCATGCCAGACAACAACCGTGACCAATCTGGCAACAGCAATGGTAGGGCATATTTGGCAACGAAAGTAACAACCATAGTCGTAATTAGCCTTTTATTATCAAACAGTGAAATCATTTGTACGCTATCTGATAACGGATTAACTCGGCGTCAATTTTCGATTACTCGATGAGCTTGAATCAGTAGCTATTATTATTATACGAAGTTCTTTCTTGGCCAATGGTGCTTATACGATCTCTGATTGTGATAGTAATAACCCTGGTTTTTTTTCTATCTAACAGTTATTATGTGCCAGGAGCGACGCCTTTCTTACGCTTTCGAGTCATGATACTATGTGTAATGTAGAACTGCTGTTAGATATATCATTTACGCTGTATATAGTTGGCAACTTATTTAAGATGTATTATTTTTATGTTGATAAAGAGAATTTTATCATTCGAAGAAAAAAATTGCAAGAATATAGTTACATTGAAGGGGCTCAGTGTCGATCTATTGCTGTTTTTATCGGAAGGGTTAATTCTAGAAAGTTTGAATGTCTGTACACACAACGGCGTCTTGATCACCTGTCCTATAGCTTTCTATTCGTATATTGATTTTTTTTTTGTTACAGTCAATATTTAACTATTATACTATAGCCGTCAATTAATTGACAACATTTCTCTGTTGTTTTTTTACAGGTTATTAACGCTGGTGATTTTGGCGGTAACGTGTTGTAGTTCTGTAAGTACCCTTACTATTCTCACCCGTAGAGTGCATTGCTCTAGATGCGACCAGTTTCGCGTATGTTACTTGCTAAACTTAAACGTCTATTGATCCCCTAACCTAGTAAACCATGATCGCATAATAGCATTTAGTTCTTACATTCGTACTAATGTTCAAATCTCGATCCAGCTTACATCCGTATAGTCATTTCATCATGAAGGACAACCGCAGCGAAATGGCCGCTACAATCTATCGAATATACACACACTAGTTTTTAATTTTTTATATGCCGCTGTTTGTTTGTACGTGAGTGAACCCCGACGCGTTTTGCTTAACTACCATTATTCGGTATGGCCTAGTAGGTGTCATAGTGGCTACTGCTATCAAATAGAGCTGGACACCATAGAGGGTCCAAAGATTAGCTAAGGCCGTCTTCGTCATCGAAAGCAATATGTCACTCCATTAATGGCCAGGCAGCGCGGCGTCTATGTACTGGACATTGATAAATCCTCAAACGAGTGAGAAGGCCACATCAGTCAGTCAACGACATGCCGGCACGCGGACGCCTAGCTTAATTAACAACGTCAGCGTCTTCCTATAACTCTTTTTGTATTTGATTTCCTGTCCTGTTGGAACTGGGCGAATTTTCTAATGACCTTCAAGTTGAATATTTCAAGTTGCAGCGTTGCTGAACCTGCGCTTTGTTTTACCTTGAAGTTTTCGGATTTCCGCGTTCCAATCGACGTAGCGATATACAAAGAGTGTGCACAATTTTCAAGATGAATACGATATCTAAACACTTGTTTCAGTGTATCACGCTCTCAAGATGTCGAGCAGCGACTGAATTTAAGTATACTGAACGCTTGGCTCACTTGGCCGCGGACAGCTCCGTAGGGAATGCTTTCAGAACGGAATGCTCACAATAATTTTGCGAAGAAGGTAGGCGCTGGCTTAATTTTCGATTTACACAAGCCAATCTGGTGGATCTGTTGTTATAGTATGACTTGACTCTCCAGCCTTGAATAATCATAGACCTTAGCACGCCGCATTCAGATGCAATGGCGAACTTGTCTATCCGTCTGCTAGTAAGGTGGTGATTATCATACAGTGCTAGATAGTGTACACTTGATTCTTTGTTGGGCTCGTGGCAATGCTCAAACCGCCCATTTTTTAATTCAGTAGGATCGTAATGTATAGGTTGCTTCCGCAGGTAGTATGTTCCGACATTTATTCGGGTTTCCGGTTTTTCGGACTTGCAGTATTCTCACATAACTGACTCGTTTTCCTGTTATGGTTTTGCCATTAGCAGTAAATTGTGCGGTCCACACCTGTGATCGGTCACGGCTTGCGTAGGCACATTTGATTCCGGCAAATGGATGATCAGGCCGGAACAGAATGTACCATGCTTCTAGAACGTACGACATGTACGTACTCAGAATAACTCTCAGCCTAGCAAACAACGATACAGCGGCGACAAAACGCTTCTGACTACTACTTATTTAGCGCACCCAGAAATCAGTAAGAACGGGCAAGGAAACGAAAGCAGTTCATTCATTAGGAAGTGGACCAATGCACGCCGGTACCTTTCATCCATTTCCGATATGGGCTGAACCGCCGAACCGTTACGTAAACCGATATACATGTATGTATAAGTAAATAACGGTTATTACTTGGGCGATTGTTTTCTAGTTGTTTAAATAGAGTACGTCATCTTTTTTCTACTGACAAAATAACAAATCTCTGGTCGAGTTTTGTTCTGCCCATCATCTTAAGCGCACGATATATACGCGCCGTTATTAAGCTAGACAGATGTGCGTCCTCGAACGGTCGCCGTAATGGAAATCTTCCGCTATTTACAATATACTCAAACGAGATCAAGAAAAAGATAGACAGACATTCGTCCCTGTATATCCAAGGGTCTCGTTCGCGGAGTTGAGCTGTTGTTGAAATTATATGCAACGATGTGTAAGGCCAGATATGCAAAACATTCTTAATTGACCCTCTTTCCTATTTTATTACTGGCGTGCCTTCTTCTCCATAACGACGAGACTAATTGCAGACTGATAAACTTCCAAGAATGTCCGTTAAGCTTTCGGTGCAACGCTAAGGAACCGAATACCTTCACGGAAAAGCATCTGTTTTACGCAACGATTTTTGTAAGATCATTTTTGTGTCGTTGTTGTTTTTCGTCTCTCCTCCACTCTGGACCAAATGAAGATTATCAACGATTGTATTGCGATAACTACTATCCCTGATAACAGTAGAGCCATTCGCGAAGGCTCTTTTCGTAGTTTGCCCCGCTCCGTCTTCTTTGTTCGCCGAGGGTTGTCGGAGGCAAAGAAGACACAAATTAGATGGCCAGCTTAGCTAAATCTGGTTACTCAATTATAGGCTTACTGCTAGTAATATTCAACGGCATCCTGTATTGCCACAAAATAGAATGAGGAACGACTTTTGACTGTCCATTCATCCACTACAGCTGACGTCGTTTGCAAAATTATCCGTTAGCTTTCTCATTCAGGTCGCCACCTCGGCTGCATGGCCTTCTAAAACAATAGCATTGTGACATATTCAGTGGGCGTTGATCAGCAAGGTGTCCTATATACGCTTGCAGTCTACACAAGTTACTACCTTGCAAGATTGGTTATTTCTGTTTAACTCGTGTACAAATGTATCCATGCGTGGGCATATGCACACCCCCCAGTCTAGTAAATGCATTTCGTAGAGCTTCACGCGCTCTCTCGGAATACATACACGGTTATACCTGGTTGACCAAGTATATAGTATATATATGCATGATTGGGCTAATCAGCAAAGAATGGCTGTCTTTTCGTCCGAAAAAAAAAAATTCGACCCTACTACGCTGTTAACCGTCACTATCTAAAATCGTCATTGATCTCTTACATGGTTCGTTTCGTCTCGCCTCTTCTTCTTCTGGCTTGTGGTGTGAATATTTTGCCCAACTGGCTTTTTTAGACCCTCTTCTTTGTCAGATATACTGCATTTTGGGGGAAGTGGTAATACACTACACGAGATCTGTAAAATGTGGTGGGTGCAAAAAAACCTTCCAGTGAAATTCTTTCAAAATGGCTATTGCAACCTTTAGCACGTGTGAAAGAAGCCTTGTTCCTTCTATTAAATCTTTCCTGGCGCATGGTTTTATTCGCACGGTTCTATTATTCCCTTTATAGGCTTTTGTCGTGTATGAGATCCTTTCAAATCCTTCGAATGCAAATAATGGTCTTCACCAAACGGGTTCCTGCTTTAATTCTGTGTTTAGACGTATCTTTTAAAGCCATTCACTTAAGTTTCTACTCGATGTTAATGTAGAGGTACTACTTCTGAAGATGCTACTTCGCAAACCACTAAGCATCAATTTCAGTTACAAGTTTGCACGGTACAGCACGTTGCTTCAGTTATTGATTTGATATAGCTAAAGGTAATATTTGGTGTGTCAAGCAATGCACAATTTCCGTCACGAGCATCCGCCCTCAGAGCCCGAAGTTAAGCAGAACTTCGGTCGGCTACGCAGCTAACATATATGTGTGTAAGAATAATCATATATATATATAGGGTCGAAACAAATAAACACAAGGCAATTCTTGGCCCCATCTAGATTAATCAATTTTGCTTTGCAACCTAAAGAATCAGTCTTTGCTTTCTCTCCCTCTAAACTGCCTTTACAGAAATAGGGTAAGAGCCGCGCTTCTTCGTTGTGGTCCATATTGGGATGCGTTGTTTACTATATTGCCTGTTAAGCGGATTTACACACTTAATCAGTTTTTGCCTTAAACCCTCTACACATCGCATGAACTGGTTCTGATTTGAGGCCTTAACGTGACCTTAATTCGGTCCGTATCTATGTCGTTTTTCTGCTCTGGTATTCGTTGTATGGTAGTAGGTTTCGCCAAGGGACCAGCTATACGGGCGAAGGTAAACATGGCGGATTCATGGATTATAGTGGACTGTTTGCTACTGACGGTCCGTTGGAGCTGTTCATGCGGTCCCACCTTCACCACATGATCACTCCAGTATTTCGTATTGCACCGATCCCCCTAAACTATATCGTACGCATACTACCAAATACAGGCTCGTGGACATTGCCATAAACACGCTGGCCTGTCGGTTTTAACACCTATTCCTTGTCTGGCCTCTATTTCCTTTGGTTTCTTCTTCTGCACTGATGGCCGGGGGCCAGTCTTCGCTGTCCTGACAAACGTGCTATACGCACGGCCACCCAAACCATCTCACCCACCGTACTACAGCCACCTAGTTCGTCCGCCCGTCCATTTAGATTTCGTTGCCCCACTTATACGACAACCCCGTGCTGGTGCAACACTTCCCGCAGACAGTACGCCTCCTTGATTTTTCCAATGCCTTCCTACAGTGAAGCCGCTGACATCCTTGCTTTTGCCAAGATAAGCCATACAGGCGATTGCTCATCAGCCTGTTAGGACATGGTGCTCGGTGTCTGCTCTCGGTTCGTTCGTGCGTCGTCTATCACCTTCACAGGTCTTTTTCTTCGACAGGTGACAGCCCAATATACTCAAGAATTGGATCCAACTGTTCTGCAATCGATCGCCCTGGATTATTAATGTTGACTGGATTATCTATTACTTCGACATCTTTTTGGCTATGTGGTTGACTGAACGCGCAAATCGACATGGGTTATAGTGTGCCGGTATAGCTGGATTGACGTCTCTTCGAAATAACGTTTCCGTCAAGTCACCTTACGAAAAAAAAAAAACAAACACAGCGTATTTGAAGATAGAAACAATATAACGAGCGAGTTTCTGTCTTCGTCTCTATGATACAGAAGAGGCATAGGGCGTAGGGCTCGAACGTGAAAAAATCTTGCTTGTTCACGTAACGTGCCGTAACCACCTGTCATTCCTAGCCAGCGCTGATCTTTGGCGGAATACAGGCGGTTGGCGAAATCGCCTCACATTTCTTCGCGGTTACGCAACAGACGTCTAGAGTATGACAGCGCTATAATGGCTCGCGCATCGAAGTGCTCCGACTGCGCTGAAAGAGCTAATATGCAAGAATGATTTATGGTCATACATTGCTTACTGAATAATACCGCCACTATCACAGTAGCTAAGATGGGATCTGAAACCGAAGATTCATTGTGTCATCAATGAACCCGTTGCATCGCTGGCTGCAGACGTCGTTGTCCTGCGAACGCGCTGCGTATCGTCATCGTAGTTTAGCATTATAGACCGCAACTTAAGCTGGCCAACGAGCGGGCTTTTTGTGCACTAAGTTCAACTACGGTGACACTCAATACAACAACTGCTTGCCGTCTGTGAAATAGCAATGTGGATTTGCAGAACGATTTGAAAACCTGATGATGAAGGTCATTTTCCTGACCTTTGCTTGTTGATTGGGAATTGTACCGGTGAAATCTTAAGATGAATCGTAGTAAAGACGAAATAAGAACTATACATCCTTATTGAGAATCCATTTATATAATTATTAAACAGTAATAATAATAATGCTTTACTCTTCTTTCGCGTTGCTAATTTCGTTATGTTCTGCCTAATTGGTTGCAGGCCATTTACGGCGCCTTGTTGAAACAGGGCGGCGAAGAGTCGGAAACGGGGTCAACTTTATACCGGCGTCTGCTCAGAAACCCGTCGGAAGTTGTATCCGAACCACGAAGCCACAACCGTCGGATCATCGCGGCTGCCGGTGACTACGGGCATAATCAAAAACAAAAACTACGAGTTCCTAGTGACGGTCCTCAGCGTCAGAACCCTATGGCCGCCACCGAGGGCGACGATATGTGGTACTTACAGCGTCTTGAAGCTGAATTATTACCCGGAGTGGCGAGTGGAACAAGGGTGGGTGTCGGCAGAGCTGGAGCCGAGACCGAAATCGCCGCAGAAATCAGTGCTGACTCGAAAGTCAACGTCTCCGCCAAGAGACGTCAACGTCTGACATCTGACACTGACGTCGATGTAACTAAGCAATCAGAGCACCCAAAAGCGTCATCGCTTGTGGCGTTCTCCAGCCGCCGAAATTGGCATCGCACGCGTCTTGTCGCGGCGACAATAACTACAACGGAAGCAGCACTCACGTTGATACGAAGGCAGTCCAAAAAAACCGGTACGTCTCGAATCCGAAAAACAAGTACAACAAACGCAACCCTAACGGCGAGAGGGATAGCGCCGTTAAGCAGAAATGCAGCAATCGTCACTACAGAAAGGAGCGACACTTCAACGCCTGTAGCATTTACCACTGTGGATCCGCTAACGACTTTCTTCATATCAAGAGTTCTGGAAGAAGCGTTCAATGATCCGAAAGTGACGAATAGAAGACCAGAGACTGTTGTTGCTGCTGAAAGGACGAGCAGCAGCCCAAACGTAAAAAACGCACAATTTGTTCCAATTACAAAAAGCCAAAGGCGGTCGCCGCAGGCGGCGATCGACCACAACACGAAGCGTAAATGCAAACGGAAGCATCGAGTTCGGTCGCTACCGAACGTGGGTCACAATCGGCGAGGACGGTTGAGGAATATGTGTTCCATGGGACTCGTTTGCATTGGACGCAAGCATAGTAACGTCACTGCACCGTCTAAGGGATGCCAAAACGAATTTGGTAAGTTTATATAATTAGCGCTAAAGCAACCCGCTACGTTGGTTGATTAGTTAGTTGTTCTTATGTCAATTAATAGGAAAATCAGTAGATAAGGGTGTGGGATAGCGGAAAATCATGATTTCATATAATAATAAAATTGATAACCATCAACAATAATAGTAGTAATAATAATACATGCTGTCATATTACTTAAAGCGGTAGGAGGTACTAGGACCATTGGAATAATAGTGTGTAAGTGAATGAGGCAGGCGTAACTTGCGGCCGGGTTCTGTACACTACTGTAAGTATCTGCTTCTAGATACAAACCTTTACCACTACAGGTTTACCTAGGCCAATACTTACTGCGTCCGTGACCAAGCTAGTCCTGCTTCTGTTGTTTTGAAACCCTACTTAATGACTTGACGGATCTTGACGGATATTTTGCTTTGGTTCCTTTTGGCCTTGTGGATTTGTATCAGTAGCTGCCGAAAGGAACGGCTTTAGACAGTCAAATAAGGCATTATTATGTTTATTATTAATTGTTATTATTAAGGCATTATTAAGTTAATTATGTTTATGCACTACACCGCTGAATGAGACAGCACTTTTCGTCGTAGACCTTCGCCATCGTTGTAGCTCGTCAAGATGTCACGTGTTTTTACGTGACATAAAAACACGATGGTATTGACTTTTGTGGGGCCCTGTGGGATATCGACAAAGCACTTTTATCGGTGCAATAAACTGGAACGGAATAGCATCGCCGTGCCGTCTTTCGCTTTATGTCTACGTAGTAGTTGGTCGTTCATAAGTCTGTTTTTTTTTTCTAGTTTTAAAATGAGACCAAATAACATGGATTTTTACACACGTTACATATTTTCTCTACATGATAATGCTATTATTGTTATTATTTTTTTTTTTTATCTATATCTAAGTCATCACATTACTGTCTAACAAGCGCAAAATCGATTTCATATTTACACAATATAGAGGTCTCTGAATGGAAGTACAGCTTAGATCAGACAGTCTATTAGAACGATTTCATGATAAAACATCGTTGTTGCAGTGAGTAGATAATAGATGAAGTGCGCGCACCTCAAAGAACCGGCGCACTTGGGGGGTACACTAAATGCGTTACTGCAATACTCCGTGAAGCGTCTTCCACACGACGGAAAAGAATCTAGCAGTTCCATGACTATCCCGTGCAGCATCTATTTCTTTTCTTTCACCCCTGCGGCCCTCTTTGTTGCCTCCGAGTTAAACCAGTTGTTCAATATTACGCGACAGCGAGACATTTTTGTTAAGTGAGTACATACATATCACTTAACAAGTGGTGCGCGAGGACGAATAAATACTAAGTTAGATATCCTGATAGGAACTTGTTTTTTTCCTGTAATAACCCTGAGAGCCCGTCGAATAAAGACATCAAAGTGACGCGCCTAGTCCTTCTTGTTACAGTTGTCATTGTCGGCGAAGAAGTAGCGGCCGCCGTCAGAAGAAAGGCCGCACCTTCTTGGCTCACGGTCGCCGTCCTCTGGCCAAATGTATTGCTTTTTCTATTGCTCATGTTAACGCTGTAGGCCTAACATACGGTATGGTCAGTGGTAGCGAGCCGTCGACGATACTCAATATGTGTCGACATTACTCAATCTCGCACGATGAGAGTTCGATGGGTAGATCTACGAATTTTGCTATACCAGAATCACAGCATCTGCTCAGGTTAAGCGATGTTAGCGGCACCCGGTGAGAGTTGGAATGGTGCTCGACCGACTCCGTTCTCGACGACCGGCATCGCCGAAGCCCGAAGCCGGACAAAGGTGGCGGCAAATTTTTTCTTTAAAAAGAAAAAAACAAAGACCCAACTACGCTGCCCCATTCGCCAGCAGAAATAGCCACTCGCACACAACACGTAGATTGGACGCACGGAAGAGGCACCGTCGCAATCGATGGTTGCGATGCTGCTGCGCCAAAAAAGAACAGAATCGCGACACCTCGAAAAGTAATCGTCCATATCGGTTATTCCTGTCTGCAACTGGACAGAACGCGATTCGAAAAGGAAGAGGAGCGTGGCGCTAAGACGAAGCTTTCACTCGGCGGACGCTTGCTCAATAATCGCGCAGTATTGTTATTCCCTGTCTCCTTGTCACCTCAAGAGAAACCTCATTGGAACCTGTGCAGTCGCGGTGCTGCTAGTAGCCCTTAACAGCAATAGACGGAAGAGAGACAGTCGTCACTGATAAGGGAGAAGACTACTACGATGATGATTCGCGACCGTAGCACCAGCCACGAACGATGGCGACCAAATCACGACGATACATTCGGGTCTGGCTTGTTTCGCTAGGTCTGGGGCGGCAACAGGCCCGCTAGAGAACAAGTAGATAAACAGATAGGCGAATGCTTGAAAATGTAAAGTAGTACCTCTGCATGTCTTTTCTACGGGAGCCGCCGCCGCCGCCGCTGCTGTTGGGCTAGAGTCGCATGCCGCATGGACTAGGTTGGTGGAGATCAGTGAAAGACCGATGAAGGTCGGCGCGGAGCCATCGTTCTAGTAAGTTCAGCGAGTTAAAGAACTCCCACAAGTGAGCGTTGGTTGAGCAACAATGTCTGTACGCTCACCATGCTCATTGCTGGTCGTACTTGTTATCGCCAATCACTTGTTCTGGGTCTCCGCGGGATTCGTGGAAGCTTTCGCACTTCTGGTGACTGGCGCAATCGTGAGCGGTAAATCAGCCGCGTAAACCTCGACCTGAAGCGGCAAAAAGGGAGCTACTCTGACAGGCAGAGAAGGTAGTGCGGTGAGCGCAGTGCGCGGACGCTGACTCGCGGCTGGCGAGGTTCTGTTAACTGGGGTGTCGGCGAACGCTGTTGATCTTTTTCGCAGATGACACGCAGGTGCTTTCGACGTGAATCTAGAGGGACGAACCCAAAAAAAGAGAACGAAGGATACATAGTGAAAGTGCCCGTTTGTAGATTCGGCATCACACCGGGCGATTTCACGGGGCGGCTATTAACCTACGATGTGTAAAATTCTGCAAGTGCGAAAAAACGCCAAATAAAGACAGAACCAAGGCGTATCAGTACGCATAGATCACAAGGTTTATAGCGTTAGAATGCAGGGAACGAAGCGTTTACACGTCTCTACAGACGATCGGTCGAGTGATAGACAACGATCTTCGACTAACTACTTTACGTTCTCAAGCTATTTGCTGACTGGCTAGCCAATAATGTAGAAGAACTTAATTCAATTAACGAGCGGTGAGTTAAAGGAGAGCGCTGCTAGGCCTAACATTAAGTGAAGACTGCGCGCCTACATCACACAATTTGTTAGGTTTTTTGGTCCAGATAATGAACATCGACACGCCATTTTCAACAAAAACAAGCTCCTATTGACAGCCCGATGATAAGCTCGATGCAATCCCGTGATTATTCACCATTTGGGGTAACCATCGTTTTATGCCGTCAGCTTACGACTGTCAATCATGTCAGCAAAGACTTTGAATGTCTGGGGTGCTGAATGATACTTACTTGTTCAACGAAGACTGATCAGTTGCCAACAACATTTTTTCTTGGAAAGCAACAGGATAAGAACTGTGCAAGAGGCCCTTGTTTTCGCTTTGTCACTTCGTGGTCCATAGGAAGTCAGTCTAATAGCAATCAGTCGCACTAAATGCTGTTATGTTTAACGGGTATTGACATTCGGAACGTTGCGATTCAATTTTGAGACGGCATTACTCATAATGACGTCTTATCTTAGGATAATCATAGCAGAAGATTGTGAAATTCGGCCGTCTGTCATCTGCCTTGTTTGTTGGCCACTAATGGCTGCACTTTTCCTTCCCTCTTTTCCTCCTTCCTTCTACCTTTCTAAACAGTTTTCGTTTATCAAAGCGAATGTCTATCGACTACGAGAAGAGTCGCAGGTTGCGCTATTAATTTATACGGCTGTAATGGATAGATCTTTAGCGACTTTATGCGATACGCGTGTTAGCCGAAGTCTTTCGATGTAGAAGGACCAGGCCTTATTTCGCTTTTGTTGGCACTCAAGCGGGCGACGTTTAAGGCGAGCTGAATTTCATGCGGGTCAGACCAAAAGGTTGGCCCAATCTGCTTTTCACATTTCGGTCTTCTATTACTGCCATTACGCCCAATGTGCGAGATAGACTGTATGTGTCATGTGGAAACCCAATCCCACCAACTATCTATCCGAATGAGTCTAATATTGTGTCCGTCTCTGTACTGAAAGAACCGCTTGTCAATATCATCAATCATAAAGCAGCTGACGCGGCTGGTTTTGCCAGGAATGAAGCAAAGTGTGATCCGATCTATGAAGCTGGCGTTGTTAATCCAAGATTGAAGAAACGATTAACTTTTCAGCAGCTGGTGCTAAACCCTATAATTATAACTCTTTTTATTTAAAGATAATGTTATTATGTGACAAAAAGCAGAAAGCATTGTAATTTTGGGAACATGCGGGATTATCCTTGTGATGTTTCTTGCAATCATAAGTTGCTAAGGAAATAATCATATATGTAAGAAGTTCAGAACTAGCGGTATCAATCTCATCTGTGCAGATCATTAACAATGAATGAATCGCCTCTTGTTCACTATACCACTATTATCTAAGCCATCAGCTATAGCAACAGAAAAAAGTTATTCTCGTATAACTTACGTATTACAGCTAATAGTTTACCCCGGGGCTACCGGCTGTATCTGTTCGAAAAATGTCTGTATGCTGCTCGCTGTGACAATCAATAGCTCCTCTTCGCTCGCAGCTAGACAGCGTGTAAAATGATAAAGGTACGACGCGATGCTTAGTAGAGAACAGGGTCAGCAACCGATTCTGGTGGGTGGGTGGGTGGCTGGGGCATTTCATCGCCGTCGCGCTTTACCCTGTCTCTCTATCTTCCCTCCTGTCTCCATGCCCTAGCATTTGTTTTGTCCCATCTTAGTGTTTTGAGCTACAGCTTCGGCTTCTTCGGTATAGGTCTTCAGACTGTCAAATAATGAGGGGTAACACCCATACGCTAAAAAAAAAGGGACACATAGGACATGGTAGACGCGGTGGGGTCCAGTCCCGTCTCGTTGGTCGAGTCGGTCAGTGGGTTCCCTTCTTACTTCTTTAGTTGGTCAATCCCTACCTTTCTGCAAGTAAGATATACCAAACACGATAGAGGTAGCACGCGGATAGCGGTGGGTAGCACAAACGAGTCTCCAGGACCGCTTTTGCTAGTTTATAAAAACAACTGTTTCGCTCTTTCACCCACAAACACAGTACGGAAGTAGAAAGCTTCATCAGACACAGGGAGGAGCAAGATCTGGACTATTGAATGAAAGGCGCAAAGAAGGGGTAAAGATTTGTTCCTGTTTACCTTGCTTCCCGTTCTTCTCGAATTCGTAGTATATAGAATGGGTTTTTGATGCCCTCTGTGTTCAAACTATAGATGACATATAGCAGACGTATTCGAATCGACTCAGTACTCAATCCAGGCCAACTGAACTAGGAACAGACCGAGGCTTAGGGGATTACAGACAGTGTAAGGAAGCTCAGAACCAGCGGACAGTCAAACGACGCACCTTAGTGGGTCACAACAGCACATTACTGGGCACAGAAAAAAATAACGAAGTCTTCATTCAATGGCGTAGGGGCTCACTTAAAAAGCTACTGAGACGGTCCCGGTGACGATCTAGGGCATAGATGCCGGTGTCATTGTCGCCTGTGAAGAGTAGGCAAATAAGGCCGCAACAAATCCCTTACCCTCTATCTCCTCATCTTCTTCGCCCGAGAGTTCCGCTTATGGATGTACTATAAAATATGGTACTGGCACGTATATCTTATAAAAGCAGTTTTGATTTTCCTATTGCTTATGTTGATACTATTACTATTTATGACAAAATAGCTCTCCGGCCTGTCTCTTTTTCAGCACTGACGTATCAGATTGTGCTTTCAGTGCTGCGCTCTGGTTGTCTATATAGACAACTGAAGCATTTAGCAAATGAGTCACATTTAGTGCGACAGTTTGTATTTGGCTTTACAATAGGTCTATTTTCTTGTTTATTGACATTTACATTGATGTGGGACCTCGGAGACTGCTGGAACAGCAGGAACAACATAGGCGGGTTTTTTCAACCATCTACTTATTCGCGCAGACTTGCTTATATACGCGTACGTTTTACCGCGATTGTACATATATTGAAGCACAAGCCAGAGCATAACACGTGTTTGCACGTGAGGTACGTCGTTGTTCGAGAGCCTGTGCTGAGTTGTTGATCTGGGCTGGCACTGGCGGTAATGGACCGCTAGCTCAGCTTTCGGGTTGCAGTACGTACTAAAGAGCCGTTTTAGCCAATAGGTTCCGCATTGACGGTCGATCAGAGGAACTTGACAGGTTTCGACTACGCAAAAACCTAGCTTATACTGCGGAGTCGCGTAATACGCCAGCGTAGACAAAAACGCAGTAGATTGTATTCATCCTTATAAATTATTAAATCTTTGTTTCTGTTTTAAAAACCAAAGATCTATACGACATGTTTTGGTCGCTATTTGCTTCTATGCGACTGGTCCAAGTAATGACGTTTTTTTCTTTAGTCATTTACGACATGGTCATATACTTCCCTACCTCTCTAGTATCCTACCTACTCCGGAGCGGAAAAGATTCTTGCGAAGCCTGCTTTCTCGCGCCGGAGCTCATCGACGGAACGCTATTAACCTACGCTTTTATGTAACTTCTAAGGTTGCCGGTTGATTTTACACGCGCGCAGACAGGTAGACAGTATTATCTCAGGTAGCATTTCATTTTCAAGGCTCTTTTTTGACGTTGACTGACCCACTGGACTTTGCTCACTATCTTCTTTGGTTTGGTTTGAGACTACTGATCAAAATGGGTCGTTCAGGCCCGGACGTTCAGTAAAGAAGGCGGGAATTTGCGGTATCTAAGTCTGACTGATGACACAAAAGCGCCGGCACCCGCGTCGGTGTGGTCTTTGGTGCGCCTGGACGATTGGTACAATATGGGCAGTGAGTCACTGGATCGTCCCGTAGTGACTGCATTCGCCATTTTTGGATCGGCAACCAAAGATGAAGAGTAGTTGCTCAACGGATTTACTTTACACAATGCGCAGAAAAGAATGGCGGATGCTATTGGTTACATATGAACAGCGAAAACATCGTAGACACAACTAGGTTTAGGCTGTCGCCTGATCGACCCCAGCGACGCCGTTGAAGAAAAAAGACAGCAATTGTAGTATAAGACGCGTTGTGTAAACCAGGAGGATAGATTTTTTGTTAACACAAACGTGCCGTTTACATCCTTGAGGCGATGGTTCTGGGAGTTGCAGCAGGATCATCATGCTGTAGCACAATTTTCAAGGGACAAATAACCATTGATGTCGTCTAATCCTGCCCTTAGTATCGGTCAAATCAATCCAAAAAAAACAGACTGCGAAGCGAAGAACTTTCATCTAATAAACTCCTGCGCTTATTGCTACTGCTGCTGGTAGTGACATTGTAGGTACGCTTGCCTCCAGACAGTGGTCAAGGGGCTCAAGGGGGTCAAGTTCCAAACTGGGATAGACCTTTGTAGAACTGCCGCTACACACCCCTATTATTCAGCGCGATCCACAACAGTTTACAAAACAGCAAATTTGGCGTTTTCATATCTTACGTCTGAAAGTGTCTTCACGCATTATCAAAAAGGACGCCTGACCCTAAAAGCTCGTTGCAAATGTTCCTGTTTTGAACATACACTTCATGTATGCCCTTGACGTTAGTAAGCAAACGCGTTCCTATCTAAATGATCGCGCATATTTTTCTTTTTTTAGTAAAAACCTTTATCATTGCCTTAGATGTGCGCCTACCTACTGGGATAGAAAGTAAATATACTTCAGTTCTTCTAGTTGGAGCACAGACGAGTGAAATCCTACTTTTCATTCACTAAACTCTGTTGCCGTCTCGCCGGCATATTATTAGTTTACGAGATACTTTACTAGGAGATACGTTCTATTAAACTCAGCCACCGACCGGTGGCTTCTCATTAACTAATCATTAGTTACTTAATGGGGTTGATTTTATCGCACTGCGGTTGTTTAAACGGGATTATTCAATATCCATAAGTTTTATGGCAAAGAGTACTCACTGTTGCTTCACTAAATCTAGCACCGCTCTCCAGTTAGATATTGACAGCTTATGTACCAATCGAGTAAACGCCGCACCCCCGCACGTCCCTTTCGGACCACAGAAATGGTGGCATTTTCCTCCGCGAACACTCACTGTACACGTTGTGCGTGCACACAAGATAAATGCAGAAGCAGTCGTGCAATACGAATAATGCGATCATCAGAATGAAACGTCACAGAAATACGTGAGACGACAGTGACATATAGATGTCGGATTAAATGCTATATAGTTGGTTACCAAATACCGTATTACACGGTTTTATCACCTGCTACTGGGAAGTTGTTCTGTCGGTTCTGAGTTATCGCCAATCATTGCTCTGTTCCATTGAAATAATATACCAAAGTGTTATTATTTGCATCGTCCATTATTGCATAGTCTTATAAGTCGTATAGGTTGGTTTTGTTTGGGGAAAAGGCTTCGAAAGTTATAGGAAATGAACGCGGGCTGTCTCCGTTACATACTATATCCACTTTGTTTAAATTCACTTTCAGACTATATATACATATATATATTATAGATATATAGAGAAAGACGACGTAGCTCGCCGTTAGATGTTACTGTATTGTTACGTAATAGTTGTGGTTCTTCATTAGCGTGGGCTATTTGCTAGTATTCTACCGTATTTTACTCTATTTTGGCCTGATTCCAGATCAACTGAATATACGGGCCTTGGCTATGGACAGTGAATCAAAATTCACTATTGTGTCACTCCAGGGATTACACTCAAAAAGGGCATTGTGCTTTAACCGTCAAGGAGCACTTGTTGCAAGGGTAAGTATCACAACTATTTTATTATTGGCCTCGTATATAGTTCAACAGGGTACGACAAAATAAAAAAATGTTTATCCTACATGTGTTAAAGTAACGATAGCGAACAGTATAAAGATTTGCTTTGCCTAGTATAATTATACAAAGACAAGTACATATGGTACAAGAGCGGAGTCTGTTTCTGGCAAAAACACGTTTCCTCAACATATTTTTTTTTATCCAGAAGAAACCTGGAAGGGCACTTACGTGTCGCATTGCAAAACACGAGGCTCAATCACTTGAATTGAACCGGCCAACGCCTAACCCTCTATTGATCGCCTTAGTTTTTGCACGTCGAGTCGTACTTTCATTCATTTTTAGGCCATTTCGCATATATAGACGCACATATGTGAGGTAGAGTGAAATTATGTTGCTTTCGTTTGCGTTTTGCTCGCGTTCGGGCATATTCTTTAACACACTACCTTGTTGGTTCTAACATGATTGGTCAGATTGGATAATGCGCCACTATTTGAGCCTTTCGATTTAATATCCTCGTGAGTCGTTTATGTTGGCACGGTCACGCTCAAAAAAGTGTTCGTATGTGCCATACGAAACCGCAAAACATACGTAGAACAAAACAATGAAGATAATGGCAAATCGAAGTCTGGTTCGATTAGTGAAGTGGCGATTGAACTCTGTAGGCTTCTGGATCACGTGTTTTCTTGGCGGGTTTACACGAAAATGAAGGTATGCCCGAAGTTGTTCGTGACGCGCAGCAGAGGGATTGATGTCTGCTCGCTTGGTGTCGCCCTGTCGCCAGAGATAAAAGTGTATCATGAGCGGCCAACTCATGTTCCTCAGGAGTCTAAAACCCCCAGCTGTTGATATTGACACGAATGTGTCCTATTGCACCTGATCATGCGATTTTCAGTGTCCTTTGTAATCGCATTCGCTAATCTAAAATAATTAATGCCAAGCGTCGTTTTAGTCGAACGATACAAACTTACGGACTTTACATAGTAGAACTGATCGGAAGTTTTATAAAGCTAACCAACGAGCACGGTGCAAAGCAAGGCTAACGCTCATAAATTTTTCATCCCACCTACCCGTCGTTCATATGGCTGTCTTGTGGATTCCCATAGGATCCTTTCGAGATACTCAAGGTCTTCGGTATAGAGGTACCTTTAATGAAACCACACAGGGCACAGGGCGTACCTTTAAATTCGACGTGGATGTTGTGGTCAGTACGGGTCTTGTACATTTTCTAATCCTGTCTCCATTCGATCACTGGTGAAATACAGGACGTTCTTATGAGAATTTATGTACCTATATACCTGTTGGAGAAGTCTTCCATAGCAATTCCCGAAATACTCGAAAAGGCAGTGGTACGATCCCGTGCCAAAAGTTCATCAATAATTGGACAACTTCTGTCACTCGCACTATAACCCACTGGCGAGTCGTTTTCATGAATGTTGTTGACCGGGGTCGACAGATTGTAGTTTACCTTAGTGTGCATGCTGTACAATTTGTTACTGTGCAAACCTATGAGTACGGTTTGCCGCTAGATAACGACACATAATATGGAGCGCGGTGCTTCGTTGTTAGAGACCAGCTAGTGTCTGACCGTCAAATATCACGGATAAACCACTTCAAAAGCGGATCATCATTCTCGACACCTATTGTCGAACCTGCTGCCGAACCTGCCCAAATTTTGTATGGTTGAAATAGGACAATATGAATGGGCTTGATGACCTTGTCAGTGTGGTTATATTAGTGAACAGTCGCCTGATGGTTGAAACAGCCGTTGTTTTTGCTTACTTTTTGCCTAAATCAACTAGCAGTAGTAGGCCAAATAGGCATCTGTCACTTCGCACACTGATATAAGCCATTCAGCCTTTTTAGTTTCGAAGAGGTGGTCTTGTCCTATCCCTACGTAAATCGCGCTTTTCGATTGTTACGGAAATGCGAGAACATCGTTACCCCATTACTAATGCTGCCACAACGACTTTTGCTAGCCAATACATATAACTTTCTTTATTCACACCGCTTGTGCTCAATTAGAGCCTTGGCACTACGGCGACCGTCAACCAATCAACCCCGTAAACAAAATTACAGTACGAACTGTGACGCCAGCCTGTTTCCTTATCGATCCCTAGGCAAAACCTTAACAGAAGTCAACTAAATTTGTTGTTCCACTATCATTTGTTTAACTGTCTGTGGACCCATTTATGCTACCCTATTTTGTTTGTCATCACTCAGACACACAACGACGAACGGAGTATAGTGAGTCAGCTTGTCGGTCTTCTATGAAAAATGGTCCCTTCGACGTGCGTATGTAGACCATTTGCTTCGTAGTTTACGTAGCCCCTTTGTGTATCTGTCTTTCGAATGGCTATACGTATCGTTGTGTGAGGTCTCGTGCTTGTGCCGGCTCGAATGTCTGCTGCTCCCAGTCACTAGTAGTATTGCTCGTTCCGAGCAGCTTGCCCGATTCGGTTCATGCAGGAGATCTCACGGTGTAAAACTCTAAGATGCCCTTTGAGCAAGCGCTAACGATGACGGCAAAAACAGCAACAGTAAGGATAACAATAACTACGATAACAAATGGCCAAGGACGGCTATAAGGTATTAGTCGATTGAAAGGTCCGACCTAAGATGAGCCCCACTGACGAGGCGCTGACGAGTTTCGGATGCTCTAGTCGAAGACGTAGTACCAGCGGCGAACTGCAGAAATTAGCGAGGTGGATGCCGCTGTTGGAGCCCTAATAATAATAATAGTGAACAGTTTGCTCATAGACTTTCACGCTTCGCGCTCTACTTGCGTAAAGATTTATGTCTTTATCAGATAGGTGACGAGGCTCTTAGCGAACACGCCGATCGGTCGTAGCGCTCGCATTTGGGGCAGTTGATCTGTTGATGCCCCAAGCACTATCGCAATTCAAAGGAATATCAACTAAACTTGGGGCATCTTATGACAAGCGTGCAGCTCAATTACTCAACCAGGCTCACACAGACACACAGAGACATATATAGGAGGTCAGAAAAGACACACAAATACGCATATGCATAGACCTTTCTGAGACAATTTGCCTAAACAGACAAGATGAAATGTGAGCTAAATCGGGGAGGAGAGGTATAAGTAACTAGTTGTGTGCGTTGATGGGTGTTCCGGCAATCACTATTTACTCAGAATGGCATACACATATACACATATATAGATATATATGTACGGTAACGAGCCGGAAGAACCTAAACCCACCAAAGCTGCGAGACAAAGACAGCGCCTTCGTTAATTTCCTTATAGTCTTGCGGCGCTAAACACAATCGCATTCATTAGTTGAAAAGGTAGACGAGCCGTACGACATAGTGGATAAAAATGAAGCTTGGATGTGGACGAAGCAATGCTTTTGGTCCTCCTCAATTTATTTTTGCTTAGACGTTATGCATCAATACAAAATACATAGTTTTATAGTCCTATTCAGCGTTGGAGTACGCTGTTTACGGCCTAGATGGTTTTGTTTTTAAAAAGACTTTTTTCTTGTCTATTAGCAGCAATTATGGGTAGTCAAACCACAAATTCAATAACTGCAGTGACTAAGTATTCGTGTTTGTTTTGTCTGGATTTTGAGCTGGGGTGCAAGGTTTCCTGACATTGTCGACTCACCGGCCTTGGTATAGGCCATTGATATTATGTATATATTCCTCTTCCTGCAAGCAGTCTCCTCAATCGAAAGCATTCGAACGAGCCTGAACGCCAGCCCGCTCAGTCTTATCCCAAGGCTTTGACCAACGAACTCACCCTCCAGCTGCACTAGCCTTTCCTAGCTATGTTCAGCTTGCGATAACGCCTACCCAGCTGGCCTCATCGAGGAGTCAAGCTAAAAGTAAACGTTCCTTAGAGCCGTTAAAGGACAGGTGCGTTTAGTCATCACTCGGGTCAGGGTGAGCCGATAGGCTCCGAAAGGCACTATTTAGAGTGATATCGCTTTATTTCCATTCTTCTAGGATATACAATGCAGTGTGAGACGAAAAGAAAAGCCCGTTCGCTTCGATTGATTACGATAGCTTTCTTTAATACTGGCTCGCTTATATGATACGAATATTGGTAAATACTGACCTTCGCAACAACGCAGGAGTCTCGATCTCGTACTGCTCATTTTATGCCTGATTGGATTTAGGCATGTCCGTTAATGAGCAATATTCCTCGCTCGCGTTGGAAAAGGAATAGCGTAAGTGGATAATGGCGACATAAGTGGTAGTTGTAAGAAAGTGCGATTTTCTACAGTTTCCGATAATTAGAAAAAAGAAAGGCGAAGGGGTACGAGAAAACAAAGGTTGGTCGGATCATGTCGAACAAAATTTTTCAAGTTGACTTTCTTCGATCCTGCTCCTAAGCCACCCAAATGGCTGACCGAATTATCTAGAGGCAGTCAAATCAGCAAAAATCGCCGACTGGCATAATCTATCGAACAGTCATCAATGTCAAGACGAGCCCTAACGGTGGCTCATTCGTTAAAGACGCGCCAAACGAATATTAATCGAATACGCTGTTGTGATAAAGCCGAGACGCGGACGCCTCGAATGCGTATCAACTCTGAGTTTCATCGCTAAAACGCCATCTTTCTGTATACAGGAGCCGTTGTTGTCTTAACGGGAGCCCCTATCGGTTACTGCTGCTGAAGCCGGCGGAATACCTGTCTTTGAGAAAGTAGCAAAAGGTCTTATTTACCGGCTACTGGTCCGCAAAGACAAAGGAACATTAAACGCCCATCAGTATCAGAGTAATTGAACAATACTGAATTAAACAAATAAATTATTCTTGCCGATTGCGAATAGACCCAAAATACACACGTATCAGAACAGGATATGGCCCAGGTTTGGTGATTCTCAGCGGCCAATAAGCAGTAAATCAGTAACAACGCTTGCTTAGTTTCTGACTGAACGGTTTGTGTCGGTCTCCACGATCGATACATCGTCGAACATTATATGCAATCTGTTTTGAGGACAAGCAACCGAGCGCTTCGAGGAGTTCTTCAATCTGTCGAGTAATTACCGAGAGTGAAGCTCGAAACTACGGCCGGCGGTGAAAAAAAGGTGGCGCTGACGATCTATAGGGAGAAGCCTTTGTAAAGGAGACCCGCGCTAATACCGGCGTACATAAAAAGACAGCAACGTTGGCCTAGTTTGCTGGATCACTGCTACCGTTTACGCATAGCTTTGCATCGGCAGACAAATGCTGTGCTGAAAGCAGCGGCAGCAGTACGAACGGTATGTTACCGGCATTTCTGCTGCTTTGTGGTTAGAATCTTGTAGGAGAAGCAGTGGACAGAAGGTGACGCGAGGGCTTTCAACTTTTAGCTAAAAGCTAGTCATTTAATGCTTCATCGCTTCGGGCAATACTTATTTAGTTACTCAAACACAAGAGCTGTGTCTGCGCATGCGAGTACCCTGTTGAAGGGCATACTGGCTCAATAAGAGTAAGTTAGAAATTTTCAATCAGTAGCATTAGCGAACGTTCAGAGACGTCGCCGTTGCACTATGGAAGCGCTGCCTTACGCCTGACTGAAATAGAGGCGAAGCTGAAGGTCGGGAGCGTACTCGAATCGACCCGAAATGCCACCGCTGCGAAAATATTACGCGGGGCATATGACGGGGTTTACTGTGAGCAGGCTCAAGAACGGGACGGGATGACGACCTGAAGAAACAGAAAAAACGCGATTTGGATTTTGCTTATCAGAATTTAACAAAGCGATTTCCTCTGCAAACCTTCGCTAATTGTTTTTCTTATCCCTGTGTATGGTAACATTCTGTTTGTAGCAAAAGATAAGCAAAAAGCAGCCGAGAGCATAATTCGAGTATAGCTCCATTGACGGGCTAGATTTACACAAGCATTACTCTCGTAAGACGGGCAAACTGGAGAAATGGCCATTAAATTGGCCGTGGCTTTTGTGACATTTGCTTGCTTTTGTACGTATATATGTATGTATGTATGTATGTATAATCGACACGCGATATATACATGACCGTCGACAATGGTCTGGATACACGAGGTCCGCCAGCGACCAGCCGGTGGCCCGTTGTGGCAGCATGCAAACTTACTTGCGTGTCACAATTAGCGACTATTTGTTCAAGAATAGGTCATAAATTTTAAAACGAACGTGACGGTGAAAAATGGGAAGATAGCGTGAAAGGATGTGCGATATGCGGGCTTAACGCTCGTAACAAGCGACCCAGTACTTGCCACAAAGATTAAGAACGACCTTTGCAGGTCTATACGAAGCTGTAAGCGGATCTCATTGCCAACCTGATGATTGGCCCGTCATCTGCCTATCGGGACCCCACACGTGGCATAAACACACATTATTCGAATAGGTACAAACCGCATAGTTCATGTTTATAACCCAGAATATAATAGGGGTTCATGCATATATGTAAGAGGACGTCTAAACCGTCATTGGCTCAACGGAGTAGTAGTACCTCGTCAGCCTTCGTAGGTAAAGAATATACTCAATCGTAGCAAAGAGTAGATCGTTTCGACCGTGTACGTTTAGCATATCCGGGGTCTTTATCAATATCTTTTGACCACGTTATGCTTGTCAACCAACAATTTAAATGTTCGAATGTAGATTTAGTATTTACCTGCAACAAACGTCCGACTGCCGAGTTTTAGCTTAATTTTAGGGTGTCATAAAAGATCGCCTTTATTGTTGAAACAACACGACACTCCATCTCGGCGACTGCTATACATGTATACTTTGCGCATACAGACAGCAGCACTCGTTCACGAGAATACCCCCTTCAGAATAGCCCGCTTAATAGCGACAGCGGCAGAGAGCGCTTAAGGAGTTCCAATTGATCTCCTGCTGCCTGCTGATCCTGACGAGGTTACTGCCATGCTGGTTAGAAGACTAAATGCTAACATACATACGCTGGCGAATGTTGTGGTTCTCGAACGAGCTGGAGCGGTTATTTTTTTATTTTATTTGGTTAACTATTGGCCGTGTGGAACAGGGAAACGCGTTACAGAAGCATAATAGCGTACGTGGTACACATTTTTTACTGATACCTGGATGGGTGGCCATTTTGGCATTTTGACTAGTTGTTACAATAGTCATTCGTTAGGGTCATCATGTCAGCATACCTTTTTAGCACAACGCTTTCATCTAACGTCTGTCTATCTGAAGCGTGCTCTATACGGTAAGGTGGCCTAGCCAAGAGGTATCTTCGGGGTGATTAGTGAGTGGCTATCGAACACGGCCGACATCATGACAGCGGTAAAGTTGCTGAAAACACCACGTTTGCTAACCGACAGAAGAAGATCCAGCGGCAGAGCTACAGATCTCATGACTTCTCTGAACTGATGACGACGACGACTACAACAACAACAAGGTTCCTTCGGTGAGTTGCCGAGGCTGAGAGATGTCACTTCGATTGACGGGACCACCCTGATACCAAGCTACCGACCGCACCGGTACAAGCACCGATGTGTGGTGACATAGCCTTCATTTTCCTTCTACGTACTTCATGAGAACGAGAGAGAGCGAGAGAGTTAACTGTCGCAGTAACAACATTTGTACTGGTAGAAGACGTCAGCAGATAGACTAGTCATGGCTGAACTGTGTTTGTCGCTGTGGTGGTTTATTGCAAATACGTATTCTCGTCTCAGTTACGGTATGGTCTGCATTGTTAGCAACACATCTGCGTATAAGTCTGGTTGTTACTTGACGCTGACGTCTGGACCAGGTCAGATACGTGAAGCTGGTCATGAGGCAATTATGTAGTTTAGCTAGACTTAAAAAAAGGCTGCTGTACTATTCCTTACATGCATTTAGCCGCTGGTATCCTAAGTTGCAATGCTTAAAACGAAGCCACATACATACATAGACTTGTATGTTGGGTTTTCGAATAAGTATTTTTGTTAAGGATTTTTCTAGCCGCTTGAGTTACTCAATCCATCTCAAGTAGTATGAACAGTGTCATAAGTACGGCAGTGGTAGACGTTACAATATTGGAGATTACGATAGAGCGCCTTGACAGATAAATTCGCTGCAAAAATTTGCTACGTTTAACAATTATATAGAAATGAAAGCATAGAAGTGCTAAAAAAAAAAAAAAAAAAAAAATCTGCTGTGTGAGGTTAATGTGAAAAACAAAAATAGCTCAATGATGATTTTTGCGTTTTTCTCTTGAAAATTTTGTCGTGAAAGACGGTTCTCGTACTTGTGGGCCGGCTGCAAAAGAAACGATTGCAATAGTTAAATAAGGCCAACATCTGAGTAGCCGTAATATTTTCAATAAGCTAAACATCTACCATTAAACAAGCATTTGAAGAAAACTGGCTACAAAGAAAACTGGAAATTTGGATACCACAAGAATTAGCGCGAAGCAATTTACTGGATCGTATCTCCATCTGATAGACAGAAATGAATCGATATCGAGTCCTTTCTCAAAGCAGTTGATTGTGGATGATAAAAAGTAAATCACATACGACGGTCATGTGCAAAATTAAAAAATGTTATTGTTAATCTACGGCAAGGCCCAGACTGACGCCAAAGGAAATGGTGCTACATCTTTCACGAGATTGGGAGGGAATTGTGCATAGCCACCTGATACAATTACTTCGTATCAATAAAAAATCGTCCGGAAATAGGAAACAGCGTCATCTTCCACCATGACAATGACAGGCCACATGCACCGTTGGCTGTCAGGTAAAAACTGGATGGCATCCACAATCAATGCCGTGATCTTGCACTGTCCGACTATCATACTGCTACCTGCTTCGGTCTCTGCGTAATTATCGTAACGGTATTCATTTAGTTTCAATAGACGGATGCAAAAATCACTTATCATAACCTTTTCGCCTGGAAACTACAGAAGTTCTACAATGATCGGATTATGGTGTCATCAGAACAATGGCAGAAGATTATCGGCCAAAGTAGCGCATATTTAGTTACTCTAAAGATAAAAAATCTTCGCTAGATTTTGGGCCTAGAAAGAGATCAATACTACTTCGATGACCCAATACTAACTTTTTTCGTGTTTAAGTGCTTTTAAGGTGAAGTATGACTGAAGAAAGTATCAGTACGTGACGATATAAAATGTTTGCGCCTATGGCATGTTTTGAGCTGATGATATATCTATTACTTTCTTTTTAAGAATGATATCTATGCCTATTCTAAGCCCGTACTCTGTTTTGACCTCCTTTGTAGTGTCCGAACGAAATAGCCGAACGAATGTCTAATATATTGTCACTATTTATTGCAGAGACTCGGACCAAAAGTTCCTCCTTTGTGCCAATTTATAGAGGAGCCAAGTTCCGACCACCGGCTGAGGTATCGGTCACGGAAGATCGAACCCTGGCGTCTTTCCTTCGATTTTGACGGAAACCCGAGATCATACTGCCCGCTGAAGTATAGCAAATGCACACATGACCTACGTCCGATCAGAAATCATCGCCACTGCACGAAGTTCGCATTCGTGGTAAGTATATCACACGACAGAAGCAAAAATAAACTAGAGACATCGTGTGCTTTGTCATAGGCTTGCCGTAGGATAATTCCATCATACTCAAGATATATTAACTTGTATTGGGAAAGCATGAGCAACATATGTCGCACTTTACAGAACTTTCCATATTCTTGAAACTCAAAAGCTGCTTCGCTAACATAATAAGTGCATTTTTCAATGTTTCAGCAATGGAAACCGCCTATGTCGGGCCTGACCGATAAGCAAATGCTGGATATCCTGCACAAAGCGCACCCCGATCAGGGAATCAAGACAAATTATCATGACCAGTCGTGATGAAAATAGAAGACCTACAGCATCCGTTTTATAATGTATATTTATTCACCGTGTCCTCGTCTGATGATGAGGACCTGCTGCCAATGAGCGAGTGCGCATAATGATCTGTAATTTATTTATTTAGCGAGAAAACAGAATTACTAGGATTAATCAACGAGTGATAGAGTATCAATGGAAGAGAAAAAGGGGAGGCCAACGTATGCAAGACGAAATCAGAGCAACGTAATGTGAGCGCTCTAAATTGTAATCGATTTAAACGATATTAATTATAACAGAACAATATTACACAAAACGATATGTACCTTAGAACTTCTTCTGAGAGAAGTTGTCCGGCACAATTTAAGAAAATACTTGTTCGGCGTGTAAGGCCACACGGCATCGTAACTTTCTAAGTCCCCCTAAAATCTGTTTGCCTCACAGCGTGGCCACTACACCGACAAAAAGCCTTGTATGCACGCCTTCAACAAGGGACGAATGAGCCTACTGGTTTAAAATTGCAGGCCGGGGCATATCAGTACACTTTTCTGATATGTAGATTATATTAGTACAAAACAACAATTACCATTTTGGCCGCTTGTCAAGAGACATTTTATTTTGCAGGAAAAAATCATTGACAAAGCAATTATGCTCGTCTGAGGGGTATATGGGGCGACGGTGTTGGGAAATGCCAGCCGCTGCGTGCTGGGGCTAGTCATTCGGCGACAAACAACTCATTGTTTGTTTGGCCGTACGCTTTTTTAAGGGAGAGACTAACCGAACAGCCTGCCAACGTAGTCAATGTCACGACAGCATTGTCACTAGGACAAATCAGAGGAAAGACAGGAAACACAAAAAAGAATGGGACAAAGTACGCAAAAATTAAGATACAGAAGTATATTATGAATTAGCACCAAATAAAATACAAAAATATGATGAACATTAAGATATTAAAAGTGTATATGGTAGAACAGGGCGAAGTACGCCCTTTCCTCTTCCGAGAATCTCGTGTCCGAAGAAAACGTTTCCGATCTCGCCCACCCTGTGGATCAGGGGAGTGGAGTTACATTGAACATAAGCGTCAATGGGATCATCATTCATCCATCTTACTGAAATTCGTATTATTATTATTATTATTATTAGTATTACCCTTAAGATCTGTTATGAAAAAGAACCAATTTATTATACCAAGCCACACATTAATTATTGTCATGAAATACACTTGTTCCTCACCACAACTCTGGCAAAAAGGGGAAAAGAGCAAGGTGTGTGATGTAAGACTTATATGTGTGTTCATGTGTTTTCAGCAACGATAAAAAGAATCGAACGACTGTTAAGAGTACATCTGTAAAAAGAGTATAACTGTTTATCTCCCCGTCAAATTATATTCAAATTGACGTGGTGCATGGCCGTTCACAAAGATGGAACCAATTATATCTCGGACTCTCTCACCTTCTTAGCGGTACAAAAAAAATCTATCTCGTCACCTAAATTTCGCTGCTCTTTCCACCCTACCTTTCCAGACGGTAGAGTTGATTAAGAACGCTTGAAGGTGGCTGAGGTTTATAAGGGAAATGGCAAATACATTTCCAGCATCACTTCGATCATTACTTTCATATCACTATTATTATTATTTCTATTGTTGGTTTTTAAGGCATCGTTCTCGCACCCAGGACATCATTCCAAGCATTAGTTATTAATAAATAATGTATTATTGCCAAAACAGGGGCAAGCTAGACAAATTGAAGAAATCGATTTTCTACGCTGTTTTATTTCACGCGAGAGACACATATGCAGAAGATACATTTATACTACTATAGATTCTGCTGTCGATGAAAACTTATGCTTATATATATATATATACAGCATCTTTATTCGTATGTAAACCGCATATACAGCATCATACTACAGTAATAATAAAAAGAAGAATCAAGAAAAACGATAAGCTGAAGCCGAACGCGAACAAACGACAACTTTGGGAAGAGATAATCGAAATAAAGATTTACTCTATTGCCTTATCAGTTCCCCCCGCTGTAATCAGTGAATTAATGCCTGGAACGTCATGAAGCACCGTAATGTGGAAATAGGCATTTTTCAACGAACTAGTTTAGTTTATAGCCTATAGATAGGCATGATATATGTGCGGTATCTTTATAATCGATTAGCTGATTGTCTGTGCGATAAAAAAAAACTCGACTGAAGTGTATGGTTTGCAGTATGCTAGAGTGTAGAAATGGCAAGAAGCCGTATATTAAACAAGGCCGAAAATATCTGTTAAACTAAACGTGTACGCCTTGGTCGAAATGGCCGTCATTGTTAGTGTCGCGAGCGTCCAGCGAGAGCGCTGTATAACAGACTCAGAGCGGCCCGAGGTGCTCTATTACTGAACACACCATCAGCATAGGCCAAGCCCACTGTGTATCATACAAACAAAACATATGCATAAATATGATAATGATGATATAACAGTAATGAATTTAATTAAACAAACACCAGTTATTGAAGAATAATTTTAACTCAAATTAACATTCCGGATACGTTCACCGAAGGACAGTTGGAAATATGGTGTCCAAAAACAGCAGCGGAAAAAACGAGCAGCGTTTCGAAAACCGCGAAGAACGAGTGGGTACAGCTGAATTGTCATTGTGATTGGCCCCGCCTATCGAATTATTGATATGGTGTTTGGATGGGGATTGGTAAAAAGCGGGCCGCCACGTCCCTGTATAGAATAAATATGAGTAAGTGAGTTATGAAACATATAATTGTATGAGATAATATAATGAGTATATCAAAAAATTGACATTTCGTGTTTTTCTTCTAGACGAATTATGGATCTGAGTGTCTAATAGGTAAAATGTTCGAGGGTCATCAGCCACCATATAACGTAAACCCTAGTAGACTATGCATTTCCAGGATATTCTTTAAGCCTAAAACCACGATTCTAATTGTACCTGCTAGAAAAATGCTTATAAAAAAATTCATAAAATGCTAATACTTCAACTAACTTTAGCACTGCTTACAAATCTGCAATTCTCATGACATTTCAGACCCGCGCTAGATCGGCGCGCGTTCAATTATGCCATCCGTAGGCCTGTTTTAGTAAAGTTACTCTTTCTTATCGGTCTTGTATATTGTCTTATTCCATGTAATTAGATGGACACTATTGAATGCAAAGGTGAGCACGTCGTATACGTTATAAATGAACTTGAAGCATTCAGGGCGCAGGTAAAACACAGTGTTTATATATCCAATTCTATCGAGAATTTTTCATTAGTTCTACTGTTCGCTAAGACCAACTCATGACGTATTCAGCGTCTTTGTAGTTAACGCATGGAGTTAACACATTACGCTGTTCTGAAAAAAACGAGCGCTAATAAAAGAAATCTTTTTTTCAGCAAACTATTTTCTCTACACGCAGGACAATAGGTGTATACAATTACTTCGCGTAGATCATTAACTACATATGGATACGCATCTTCCATTATCTTTTTGGCAACAAAATATATTCATACGTAAAGAAATCACGATTTCCATTCAGGCATTAGAAGAAAGCAGCGCTTGGTATCAGTCGAGTTTTTAAAACATACATTTACAGTAGTAAAAGTAAGTTCATTGTTGTTTTGTAAGCAGGCATGAAGTATTTATCTAACTCTCTGTACTGAGATATTCTGATACCGTTAGAATAATATAACATGTATAATTATTCCTTCCAAATATAACTTTTAATAGACTATTCATTGAAAGGATAAGGTATGTCACGAAGAAGCCACTGCGTCTTCTTGTTTTAATTTATAATATAGGGCTTCGACGATTAATTTTTTCACTGCTAGTCTTCTTAAAAGTATGTTTACATATATAATATAAATTATAAACTAAAATAATATAACGGTTACTATACATTGATAAAATAGATTCATTACTTCGTAACCCCGATTTGAACCCGCAGCAAACACTAGGCCACCGCTATTCCATGGGCGGTAGACCTTTCACATACACATGAATATTGTAATCACATCAAAAGTGTGAAGTAAAAAAAAAAAGTTATAGTAGTAATTTACTAACACAGTAAATAAAATACATCATATATATTCATGTTTTTTTCTTTCGTGATATTAAGGAAGTGTACGATACTCTGACGTCTGGCAGTGCACAAACCTCAAAGCTATCTGTACTTTAAAAGACTGCTTTAATTTGAAATCATTGATAAAGTTAATTGTTTTTCTGTGTGCCACAGGTAGATCGAACCGTATTAGATTGCGCTGTGGCCTTATTGGCCAAATTAACAGAAAACTATTTATACCGTGTGTTAGGCTAAGTTTTAAAAGTGCGTATATTTTCAGTTGTCTACACATAGCATGTTGCAGATGATATAGTATATGCCTGAATTGACCGGAAAATTTGACATCTTTGCGAATTTTGTACAGCTTCTAATACATATAGGGTTAAATAAAATTCAAGTTTAACCGATAGTCAAAGGTAAAAAACGCTTACGCTTATGTTTTGAATTCAAAATGCATAGCAATAGAGCTGCTAACTAACCAGACAAGGTAAGACCCTAAACACAGCTATTTAAAGTACATACCCAGGAAGCACCTTGTCGCAGGACGTATCTTTTTAGGACTAGCAGTAAATAGAAGCAGTTGTAAAGGGAGCTCGTGATGATACAACAGGGTTATATCTGCTTTTTGAACCTGAAGGCATGTAAAATGATTTAGCTTCGAAGGACGCCTTGAAATCAATGAATTGGGAAATAAAAATGAAAGCCCTGAAAAGTACGGCCATACCGCCGTGTCTACAGAGGATTATTTTGTCGTACTTGGATGGTATGACACTAGACACCGGGAAAGAAAGGGTGGAGGTAACAGCCGAGGTCCTTCAGAGTTCGTGCTAGGCCTAAGCCTCTGCAGCTTGAGATACGACGATGTCTCGAAGACCTCTAACCCCCAGAGAGCCTTAAGTATATTGCCCTTGCGCACGACCTGGTTATTCTAATCTCCGCGAGGAGGGAAAACGAGCTCGAAAGACGAGCCACTAAGGCATTCATCCTCACAGACGCCTGGATGGAAGAGCGTTATCTCAAGGTAGTTCCAGAGAAGATAGAAGCAATCTACCTAAAATCTATTTCTGAATTTGGCGTTTCTTAGTACCAAATTTTGTTCATTCGATTTTTATAGCACGGTAGTTATTAATATCATATTAATAGAAGCAGTGATAAATTATTTTTATTATTACGAGTTATAGTTAATATAAAGTGGGATACACTACAATATCAGTGGTCATCTTGTAAATCAATGCGTCTTGCCTGCGATTGTCAGCTGTGGAAAACTCGCAAAAGTTTTACTCCGGTACTACCACAACACATATAAAAATACTTCTGCAATCTATCCTATTCTAATGGCTGTTAGTGATAGAATAATATAGTAATGTATTTATAACAGGGATGAAGTAATTCACATAAAGCGATTTCATAGCAATTGAACCGTTAATCAAAGTGGTTCTACGAAAATGCATTATTCCAAACAATTTTACCCTTGCTAAAATCTGCGACATATATATACCTGACAATCCCTCAATCTAAATCTATGCAAAGGATACGAAATTGGACTTGGAACCCTAAGTGACACGAAAGTAGACCACGACCGGTTGCTGGTAAAATGTTACGTTAGTATTATTGAAAACAATTTTTGGAAAATATAATTTAGAGGCTAACTTTTCGTTGCATATATATATATATATATATATATATATATATATATATATATATATATATATATATGCTTCAAAACTTTTATGAAATTCCCAATTTCGTCTAAGATATATAAACGCAACAGACTACAGTTAATTATAAAAAGAGTCGCAAGTCGCTGCATGAGCAGTAAATTAGGCCTTGGAACTCTAAGCTAGATCTATGAATTGAATGGCTCAGCAGATGGCTGGCTTGGATCGACATAAAATAGTGGACATATTCAACATTGCTGGTGATTTTACTATGATGTCAGTAATGACAGTCGGCTACGAAAAAGTTGGACTAACGATCAAGGAAAAAAATAAGACCGATGGAGTGGCCACAGCCCCGAAGAACTGATCAATATGAATGATACTGGTAACAATTTTGTTTGACTCACGCCCAGCAAATAATTTAAACTGGAATTATAGACAAATCGCTGACTAAGGCAGTTGTAGTCAAGTGATCATTACAGTTACGCTTAACGCTGCATGCAGGCTGCTGTATGCATATCTATAATGCTGGCGGCAGTTGAGCTGAAATCTGTAGAAATGCAGTACTCTGTATGCGATATTTGATAAAATTAGAAAAAGACAAACTTTCCTGGACCCCAGCATCAACCGCCGGAACGTCACCCTTTACGGGCTCTTAAATTGCCTTAGCTATAAAATTTAAGAAAATATCTAAGTTGTCTACTAAATGGGCAAAGAGACAAAAAAATATCAATTTAAATTGTTGCGTAGTAAATGCTTAATGACCGCGAGTTATCTGCTTCTTAATCGCACCTGACTCAAGTTCGCGAAGTAGTTCACTAGGTAGAAAAAAAGCAAACGAAATCTCATGGTACAAGTTGCTCACTCTCTAATCTCGTAACTCCCCACACCCGGGTGACTTCTCAGCGTGTTTCAGCCTGTGCAACTAGAGACTTAGGTGAAATGAATAAAGTGCGAAAAATTCAACCTAAAAAGCCAATTTTTGTCCCTTAATTCGGACAGATTGAAACTATCACCATTACGATAAGTGAGCTGACTGGGCTTCCAAATGCTTCTTTCGGCTCTCTTGAACAGCAGGAAACGTCACCTTTAATCACCGTAGTATTTTCTCCAATAGGTAGCCCCTTTCTAGTCATCCAAGAAGTTTGGCTACTTGGATCTATATTACGAGAGCAAACAGGTTCCAGCGCATTACGTTGGAATGACGTGGAGAGGCTACTTGGACCTAGGAAATGTATGCATCAAGCCAAACTAGGCCAGCGAGGAACTGATTCGATGTCTCTTTCGAGAATGCTACAAAGCATTCGTGATATTACAGCAGCTTGAAATTTTTCATTCGCTGCAACAGACCTTTGTCGAGAAAGGTGCCTCCGATAAAACAATATTTAATAAATTTACAAGATAAAAATCTTAGCCGCGAGGTATTGGGACTATTTCTGACAGAAGTTCTAATCCTGTACAGTGAGGTCTTGAGGAATGGTAGACGATCGCCGCGAAAACTCATCAGGTGCCATGAATTTCGGTGTGCCTAAATCTCATATCATAAATATGTAGAGCCATTTCATACACGAAGCGATAGAGGAGGCTAATTCACAGTGTCACGATATGGAGAATCATTGTACGAATACCCACTCGTCCAAATTACATGACTGTTTATAGTACGTTATCGGTTAGACAATTTGTACCACAGACTGTTTAGCCTATAGCCAAAAATATAAAATTTTATGTTTGTGAGTGAAGATATTTCGTATCTTCACTAAGTAAGTAAGTAGTAAGTATTTATGCCAGGATGATAAAGCACCACTTTGCTTGAACGCTTCAGTAAAATTAAGAAAAAAAAATCAGCTTAGAAGAATACGGTGTTCGCTTTCATTAGAGCTTAAACTTTTTTAGCCTTCCTGAATTTTTTTAGCAGTTACTTAATATATATTCAACGCAGTTTAAAATTTCGTTATTTTTAATTCGCTTCCATCATTGAATAAAAACGAGAAGATAATGTTATTACAAATTTGATAGAATGCTGTATTTAATTTAGCCAGAAAAGTACATTGAAACAGCTTAATTAGCTCGGTATACACATTTTTATTCAGTTGGCTGAGAAGGGACAATTATGAACCACTAAACAAGTCCGGATAGGGATTTAGCGTCTTACATGTCTTTTGTACAGCGTCACTTGCATAAAATATTTCTCGGGTTCAACAGACGAAGTTCTACCCTATCTATGGTAATACTGTGACTTGCATTTTTACACCGTATTCTGTGAGTGGTAGGAGAAAATGGCGTAGCAAATGACCAGCTTTTGGCAGGCAACCAGACTTCTCTGTGTGTTTTTTTTTCTATTGGCTATAGTAACAGGCTGCTGCTAATACTTAAAAGTTACATACGAAGATATTTCACATGATACTTATAACAATGATCATCTATCTTTCCTGTTAGAAGAACAAGCCGTAACTTTTACACGTTCCGATTAACACAGGCATTCGTCCGCTTACGTACAAAATACAGCGAGATAGTTCTAAGTAGCAACGGAACTTCCGTTTTAAGTACCCATTCACTAAATAATACCTAATTATAGAACGTACAGTATCTGATGTCTAGAAATCACTGTGATTCAATAGGTTCTTTCGCGGCCGAGTCACCCGAAATAGGCGTAAGGTCTTGGTTGGCTTTCCAAGCGAGGTAAATATTCCAAAATAGCGCTATAGTGCTTGCGAATTGAACCCGAAATTGAAGAGGAACGAAGTTGAAGTTGATGACCTGTGCGGCGGGCCATATCATCCAATTAGTTAGCAGGATGGGTACCGTATCTGTTCTTACAGTTTCACAAATCCCATCTAAAGATAACATCACTTGTTAGCTTCGTTTGAAATTTTCATTACTACATTGGGCTAAATATTATTTCTACAATTGCTAGAAGAGCTTGTTTCGAGACCAAAAATTCAATTTGCTAAACATCACAAGTTGTATAGGTGTGCGTAAAGTTGGCGTCGGTTTAACGAAAAATACGTCCTCAAAGGCCAGATTTTATAATTAGAATTGTAAGTAAAATCAACAATTGAGTAAATTTAATTTACATGATAAAGATGGGAAAAAGATTATACTTGATTGTTAAAAAAGCACCACTTGCGAAGTATGTTTGTGAAGTATTATAACTTCTACTAAATGCAAAATTGTATATTAACACTGATATGAACACTTATTCCAGTGCATTCGCAAGACGACATACGTTATCATATAATATCCGTATAATATACATACGGTCAGCGTCGCTATCGTTTCCCTAAACAGAACAATCGTTTTATAATATAATTTGTTACGAGTTTGCCAACAATGGATTTCGAAATTCGTAGAATGTGTTTACTTCATAGAATAACTAAAAGCATCTATTATATTGAGTAGGTACCTACCAATATTTTTCCCCTGAAATGTGCTTAGCGTGATAAGAAAACCAGGCAAGAAGACTGGGGTAAACACCAATTGATCAATTGAGGCCATCTTGAGCGCCCGCATCTTTGCCGAATGAGAGATTAACTGTTCTAAACGAGGATACCACGTCCGCAGCACCGGGCCTACATAGACGCAGCCGACAAAGAAAAATCTGAAAAAAAAAATAAACCAATAGTGTGACAACTATAACTTAGCACCGTTTATGTTACTATTATACTATATATATATATATATTATCAATGATCTACGGTAAGCAACGCTTTTTATTACTCACCTTCCTGTTCGCTGAACATTAATATGCTCTCGCTTTTCGACAAACTTCTGCGACAGAACATCGCCCGTCGCCATTAAAGCAGCTGTAGTTAACACCTGAGTTGCGGTCGGATGTTTGATATTCAGGAGGTTATAGAAACGAACTGGATTCAGTTTCAACATTGTCAGTTGTACGTTAAGCCTGAAACAATGCTATATGCAATAAACGATTTTCTAAAGATTAGTTCGCTGTCGTAGTGAAAATTACTTAAATAAATCAACTAACAATAGAAATGATAACGAACATAGTTCCACTTCAGAGGATTCCGACATTAGAAGATATACAATTAACTACAGTTATAGCAAACATAGATTCTACATAAGTGGAAATGCGATATCTATAGATACGGTCAACGTCCATATTCGCTGGATGATAAAATGCCACTTACTAATCATCTAATTCAAATTGGCGCAAGAGGAACATCGAATAGATCTGAAAAAACCTCTATAGGTTTATAATAGTTACTGCTCTTATTTATAGGACAACATCCTCTAAAAACGTACTTAAATGACAACAAAAAAAATGTCCGATTTCACAGAATCAACGAGAACCGCTAAGAGTTAATGTGATCAAGTAGAAACTTTAGACACACTCGCGAGCTATACAAACTTACTTTTTATAACGCTACCGCTTAGCATATACGAGCGGCACTGGGAGAAATCACACGCGCGTTCAACAACTACACCGTAACTGATCTCAGTTCCCGTTTGTCTTAGGATGTTCTTTTTTTAGTATAGACAGCATAGTTAATATAAAAAAGACAGCTTAAGATTGTCGCATGGCTACAGCCGAACATCCTAACAGGTTACGGCAAAGGGCTGTGAGTGAGGGAGCCAGCTGATTGTCTGCTGGTGGACTATGCGCGCAGTGCCCGGAACATTACCCTGCTCACGTTCAATGTTTAGCGTCTTGCGCTGATAGAACGTGTACTTACGGGATATGCAACTTAGTGACATTTGACAACTGATACAGTATGGATGACTAGAAAGAAAGCAGCTGCGCAAGCGTGTACCTGTGACAAACTAGACGATTGCAGATACCGGCAAATCTCGTACAGATCATTTGACGAAACGATAGTCGACGGTAACGATGTTCGACACGCGCGATAAGCATGTGTCTCTGTGTGGGAATTATTTCTCGGAACGAAAAAGTAGGGCGATGCTAGACAGGCTGGGCGGGTAATTCTGGTTCTTTCTACATCATTCCTCGTGCGAGATATTACTTGTAGCCCGTCTAGAAGATTTTCCCGATTGTCTAGTCCCTAGATTCAGGCCATCATGAAAGGATTTACTAATAATAAGAGACGCATCCGCAATCCAGTCGTGCTGATAACAAGGCAGAGCTACGAGTAGCACTATCACCTAAATCGTTTACTACGCCTTTATTAAGGCAACCTAGATATAGCTTTCACTTGAAAATAGATTACTTTCCTTTAATATATATCGGATCTGATTCATTAATGTTTAATTAATGTCACGAATTTTTCGTCACATTTTCGTGCAGATATTAACTGATTAACGTATCTCGGACGCTATCCTCTAGAATAGAAAGTTCAATCTCCTTTTTCGTAGATAGCAGATAGAGATTATTTTCTTTGCATTCATTGAAATATGCTAAATAATACAAAGTCTAATTTTTGGTTTACGTTATGCTAATTTTCAATGCAAATGATACGAGTAATTGAAAAAAATGTTTTGAGTCTTACATCCGGTTAGCTAGCTGTCTCATCGGATGGCTGGCTGGCTGGCTGGCTAGCAGCGTAAGCTGATGTGTGCCCATGGTTGTCATCCAATTCAGATCGTCACGTGTTCCTTAGTTGCACAGACACGCTACCCACTATGCCACCACCCGGATTGCTGAAAATAACTACTAATTCAGATAGCTGACGTTATTGGTTCAATGGCTACCGCTTTGCGATACGAGTTACCTGAATTTAGCTAAGACACGCTTCTCACGAAGCTTATTGCTATTCGTCGAAATGCGACAATATTGTGTCATCCTTTATAATAAACTGACTAGTCGGTCCAAGAGCTTTGTTTGTCTATAGTTCGTCGAGTTGGTATAATAACTGAGTGACAACGTCATGAAGTTGCCCCTCTCGTCTGTCAAAGCCTCCACGGGTTGGTCCCGAAGCCCACTACGAAGTATCGGATTTCTGCAAGCATACAAGATCGTGTTGAAGCCAGGTTATTTGCTACAACTGAAAACGAACACAGTGAAGACATTCAACGTCGTTTTTTCTTCAAATAAATCTATCGAAAAATATGACAAACACGTTCTTTTTGTAATTTACGCAATAGTGGAACGTCAGAATGGACACAATCAGCGTCACGGAACCATACGCTGTCCAGTTGAAACAGGAAGTCCACAAGCCACTCTAGGATGCATGTATTTGATTGTTAAAAAGTAAGGAAGTTTAATCTATACGAAGAAAAACCAACACAATTAAAAGACGTCTGTGGCGATGAAAATTGTGACGACGAAACCAGCAAGCTTAATAATTCTACCGTAAACCACTGCCCTTACCGCTTTAAACTCTTGCATCGGGTCCATTACGATCATATGATAAAGTGCTAGCAATAAATAGATATCTACCCTTACACCACAGTAACTTATGTCTAAATGCATCTTCACCTTTACAGAAAAGACAATCGGTACGTTGATGTGAAACACAGATGCTAATAGACTATTTCCAACCTGGAAAATAAAAAAAAAATGCATGAACATAAGCTATCTTTAGCTATACTAGTAAAATATTACGGTACGAACATCATCTTATAGCTAAATTATACGATTTTTTAAGTAGATACTTCCAGTGACTAGAATCGGCAAAATTAAAGGCCCGAGCCACACCTGCCATCGAAAAATTCTACAATGATTAACACCAGTTTATGAATGACAGTAGTGTCAAACATAACCGATACAAAATGGCTAGCCAGCCCCAATCACTCAATCACAGACAGCTTTGGTATTTGAGGGCTGGAGACTATCGGTTGTCATCTGAGCTAAGCGGATTTAAGGGATAAGAAGGGAAATGCGAATAAAAGTGACAGCATTCGATGTTTGCGTACAAATGGAACGGATCGGGGGGAGCTCAGAGTAAGACGTGGGAGGTGTGGAGCGTGAATGTACGAAACAATGGAATGCCTTCCAGAGCTTTTCGAGCCTCGGTTATACCCTCGGTTGGGGTATTGTGGGTCACTACAGTCAGAGTAACTACGCTAACGTATTTAGCTATGCGGCGTTAATTAACAGTACCTGTTGCGTACGTTAATATTGTCGCATCGACATTGTAATTGTCACCGATTGTCATAGTAAAGCATTTTTTTTTTACGAATAAAATATAATTTGAGGCCAATCCATGCGGCTGGTTACCACTGATTTTGAAACACTGATTTGAAAATTGTAACACGGTAAAATCTACTGAACATGCTACCAACGGCTAATGCTTTGGCTCGGATACTGCTTCTTGGTTTATCAAAGTTCGACTTGATGTAAGCTTATCTTCACAGGTCAATAATAAGATTAAACCTTTTAGTGCCAATATGTAAAGCAGCTCTTCATCTAAGAGACGACCTAAATATAGCACGATTGAATGCGAATTAGTGAAACGATGATGCTTTCGCTAATTGTATGCATCAGGTACAGCGAAGGCGACAATGGCCATAGGAACACCTACTATGAGATCTTTCAGGCAAAGCCTCTGATATATCTCCCAAAAATGTCTCTTATATACTGAGTTTTATGTAACAGAAATATATCAAATAATACTACAAGTCGTGTCACAAAAAGATCTCGATTGAAACACCGTCTCCATTTTGTACGGTATCAAACGATTTGAAAGCTTCTATTTTTCGCAAGCTTCCATAATATTGGCGTTACGAAAGTTGCCTGTCGTTTATTGGGTAATCCAAAGTCCGTAACTGTACTTCTAAGCTAGAGATGCCTGTTATACAGTTAACCAGCATCACGGATATAATGAGCATTTATGGAGCTTCATCTAACCTTGCGCTACATCGCGCCGCTTGATTTGATATTAGGGTACAAACGCAACGATGGCGCATAGTCAACACCTGAAACGATTTCCTGACAGTCGACCGCTTTTTGTATTCAAGCGAGCCGTCAGTTACAGATTGCGGTCGCTCAATAGAACAACTTCCAAGTTTTGCTTGAGTGGGAAAAAAGACGGTATTAGATTCTATGCTTTTAGAGTTAGAAAACATTGGAGATATTATGCATGTTGTGAAGCTTATTTTGCATGCGAAAAAAACGGGTATCGCGGCATCGATGCGTGCAGATAAATATACGAGTAAAACTCTCAGTTTTATTAAAGTGACTAGTGCGAGAAATATCTAGATCCGCAAGCAACAGATTACTAAACAAATATGATTACGTATAGATATCGTTTCATAGTTTAGTGTTTTGTTCAAGACCGATGATCAACTGCAGGATAGATAAGCTGTATAGCTCTTTTAGTGAATGAAGCACTGACAAATATGAATGAGAAGAAAAATTACTAACAGGCCGGCCTTCGCTGTTTGAAGACGCGGTAATATTAGTTTACGTTAATGAAAAATATGAAAAGGCTACACCTGCAGAATACTACGAGTCACGAACATTTTTCCGAGTAGAGTACTAACGAGTCCACCGTTGGCCTTATTATCATGCCAATGACGTCCAGTTCATGTTTACTGATGCTAGTCTATTCTCTAGTTTGAATGTAACCCTCACATACATGGAAACAATCAATTTTATGTACTGCACACGAATACACCTTCGAATTGGACGCTGGAAACAACAGCATCGAAAGTAAATATATTTAAATCTTTTGCCTGTACGAACTCTGCATCATATAATATTTGCCTATTTCCAACTCAGACGAACGCCAAATCTTGAGGCCTTTTCTCATCAATGAAACTGTATTTTTTTTTTTTTTTTTTTTTTTTTATTATTACAGCGATTCAGTGTCCCTTTAGTCTATTCATACCGAGTCCATATTTTTAGAAAAGCTTTTTTTGCGCTTATTTACAGGACGTTACTTTAGTTGTTTTAAAGGAGAAGGGAACGGTACTATCTTGGTAGAAACTTGCGCATTTGTGCACCAATAACTTGTGCACAAATTGGGCTCGTTCTTAATAACCTGTCACGTGTGAAGTTGTATGTTGAGATTAAGGAACGTGTCTTATAAGTCGTTGCTTGAAAAATGCTCCACGAACCTAACGTTTCGATTCACTCTTAACAGATTCCATATAAAAAAAAAAAACGTAATATTCTCAAGTGAGAGTGGTGATTTGCATAAGACCAATCAATAATCCTGTGCGAACGTAATATAACCGCTATTGACTCGAGAGCAGTTTTCAGATACGTTGCTAAGGGACAAATCGAGATAGCGACATGTTTTGTAAACGAGAATACTCTGTCATCATAAACAGACAAGCAAAACTATTCGCAGCAATGAACCGAAGCTAGGCTACCAGACATGGCTGTAAGGTCACCACGGCGAAGATTAGAGTGATTTTCGTCTTCGTATATTAAGCATTAAACGGTCAGACGGAACGGCGTACAGCTGATTTTCAACTCTGTCACAAGTTTAGTTTTCGATCATTAGGATTATATCAAGCGATTGCGACCTTGTCGGCCTAGCAGACTCTAAGACAGCTACGCTTTATCCACTGTAGCATCGTCGACCAAATGGCCGTTGTTACATTTCATCTTGGACCTATTGAAATCACTGGCCAAATAGCTAATTAAATCGATTCTAGACAGTATATTTGTGAATTTCGCAACCGTTTCCCACTGGCCTTTTTTGTCTACTGCCGCTGTCGGCATTTAAGATTTGGCAGAATATAACTCGTAGCAAACCAGAGCTTGAGTGGATATCGACAAGGTCGCAGGTATTGTCATTTTCTGAGTCCATTATTTTCGTGATAAACAGAATACGAATTGGTACGCATCAATCAAACAGTTCGAGCTCGCAGAAATGTCCGTACGGCTCGTTGAAAGACAGCGTTGGCCTCTACGGTATAAATCGAAAAGCATTGAGCGACCATAGACTTAAATTGCCTACGTTAGATTATATTCTACATGCTGTAGTAGACTAATTAAAGTAGCAAACAGGCACACATACTATATTTGGATTTCTCTTCTTGGGCCTTCAACCTGCCGACAAAAATAACACAACGCGACGTCGTTCTACTGTTGTGGCCTTTCGCATTGCTTTAAACGCCCTTTATTTGACGATCTATACCAAAAGATTAGCTGTCGTGCTCGGCTGATCTCCTCCGTTTCGTGTTACCCTTTGCTTTACCATTTAGGCGTTAGAGCACCGGCTGATAACTCTAAAAGATAAAGATTGTATTTAAAGTATAAACGATGCCGGAATGGAACAAGCTCGAAAGAGGGAACTAGAAGGAGGCTAAGAAGTACAAACATTTTTTCCACAGGTCCACGATCGTAAAACTATATCCTCGCTATATCGCTCAACCAACTCTGGGGGGTCTGTTGTGCTTTCTGTTGGCAATTCTGATCGCAGTACATCGATAGATCAAAACACAGTGGTTATTTAGAGTAACTATCCATTGCTCCTGATGTATCGTTTTTGTAAAAGCGTATAAAATAATGCGTAGTAAAAAAAATGACAATGAGTAGTAAATGTACTGGAATGCGAATAGCCGGCTTAAGTGCGGCCCTCGGTGATAAGAGTTATGCGTTACTTTTGTTTGCTGTATGAATTATTTCCTTTCTTAAATTAAGACATTATTTCAAGTATTTCTTGCTTCTATACAGATTTGCGTTTTCCTCTAAACGACTTTGATAAAGAGAAAGGGCAATTATCGATAGTGTCAGACTTACCCCTATTGGTGAATACAAACTAACTGCAAGATGGAAATCAAGCCAAATTACCGGTTTCCCCACTCTTTGATCATAAATATTACCACTTCCAGAATTGGTTTAATCTTAACTTAATTAAACTTTAACGCATCAAGAAAGAATTATAGAACTATCTTAGATACGCGTGTCCGTTTCGAGCTATTCCTTTTCTCTTAACAGCCTCTTGTTCTTTTATTCTTTTGTTGCCTTGCTATTCACCTCACGGACAAAGTTCTGCCGCCCGCAACCTGCGCAAGACGGTGCACTGTGCCGGCCTAACTGGCTACGCAGGTGAGGATGCGTTAGGCATTGAAAAGCCAGTCGGCCGTCATAGGACGGCGTGTGAGCCAGCCTGAAATATGCCCTGTTAACAGAGGTCGGGGCACCATTAGCTAATGTTTCGATGCCAACCGCAAAAGATAACCTC